TGGGTCATGCATGGCTCTATCTCCCTATTCCATCTATAGGGAATGCCTGTGCCCAATGGCGTAGCTGCCGCCGTATCTGCCGTAACAATTATACGGGGCACCCGGGCCATAGGGGCCCGTGCCTTTTCGTGCGTAAGCAAAAATTAATGAAAACATAACATTTTTTTTTCTGAAATGACAAAAGTCAAAAAAGCAATTTATTTTTTCCCTGTGTAAAGTGTGCGTTGGCAACACTACATCGGTTATCGCGGGCTGCGGGATTTCCCCATTTAAGTCATTTAGTTCAACGGGGGAATCCCACAATAATCGATGTATGTGCATACGATACGATGATAAATCACGGAGAGCAGTGTTTTTGGACGCGTTTTATTTCATTGTGCATTATATTGTAATATAACACAAACAATTGTTCTTCTGGTTTAGTAATTTTAGTAGGGATTTATAAAAAATCAATGAGTGAAAAGAAAAGAGATTATCCCATCGGAGCTACGAAAAGATCACAGACAAATAAACAGAAAAGGGTTTCCAAAAGATTCAGATTCCGGGACAATTATTATTTCGGGGACTAGTTACGGGGGACCTGACAGCTACGCACTGAGCTACCAGCCCTGACGACCAGCGCGATTCTAAAACTAGCATATTATTTGTCTCAACAATAAATGCTTCTACCCGGGGATACTCAAATTCAGGACTTTTTGAGTAGAAGGTAAGAGCGTTGCTGTTGAACTCTGCCGTTGAGTTGCAAGTTGCAATTTGCTGTTTTCGCACCATAGAGCTACATGACCGACGCGACCAGTTTTTCACATGAACAAACATTTGTAAGATTTTCTATTCTTTTATATACGAGACGCAACAAAATACTCCGCCCCACCTGACGATAAGTGTGTGTGGAGTGAAATGTGATGGTGAATCTTGTCAATTTTGATTACTCGGCGAGAAAAAACATGGCAATTACACGAAACAGTATAATTGTAATATAATTTTGGCAGGCGCACTTGTTAAGGAGTAGTCGATGGTGCAGTGGTTAGCGCGTTCAAGTAACGGGTTGGTCCCGGGTGCATCTGCAGTCGAAAACACCCTGTTATCCGGTCCGGGTCTGCTTGGTAGATCATCGCCCAATCCCATATTCCATCCATATGGAAAGCATGTGTCGCGGCTAGCGTTGCCACGCGTCCCGATAAAGCCTGGCATAGTTAGGCTTTTTGATACAGTCGAAGCACCCTCTTATCCGGTGCGGGTCTGCTTGGTAGATCATCGCCCAATCCCATATTCCATCCATATGGAAAGCATGTGTCGCGGCTAGCGTTGCCACGCGTCCCGATAAAGCCTGGGCTAGTTAGGCTTTTTGATACAGTCGAAGCACCCTCTTATCCGGTCCGGGTCTGCTTGGTAGATCATCGCCCAATCCCATATTCCATCCATATGGAATGCATGTGCCGCAGCTAGCGTTGCCGCGCGTCCCGATAAAGCCTGGCATAGTTAGGCTTTTTGATACCGTAATCGGCTTGTCCGGCTTTTGTTAGGCTTTTTAGATTTCGCAAACAAGCGAGCGCCGAGCGTGACCAGGCAAGTATGTTGACTCGGTCGCTTTAACATATTTTTTTTTGTCGTACCTAATATTACTAAATCACAAATCCTTAATAATGAATGGTGTTCGGCTGCAGCACAGAGGACATTAATAAGCTGGTGAAGACGAACAATAGAAATTTTTAGCTCTGTATGCGAGAAATAGATAATTATGCACCATAGAGCAACACCACCATATCACGAGACCATATGGCTGTAGACCAGTGGCGGCGCTAGACCACATGTGGACGTCAGCGACATCAAGTTCGCGAGGCCTATTTTACTTCGCAGTAAAAAACCGTTTAATTAAGTGAGCCAAATTATAATATAACGTATGAGCAAACAAGTTTATTGTTGATAATCAAATGATGATAAAAAATAATTACAAATATAGAAATTTAATTACAAAAATAGTGTTGCCAGGCAGACGATTCTGAATACCCGTAAAGTACTACTCACTTCCATCACGCACGTGTTATAAAATAATAAAAGTCATTAACATTTGCTTAGCTTTTTCCCCGAATTGTTCGGGGTCGTCTACCTAGGTAAGCCAGGTCAGGAGAAACGAAAATAAATAGGTAACTTGTAAAAATTTTTTGCGAGGCCCCCTCAGGCGCGAGGCCGTCGGCGGTGGCCGACGTCGCCGACGCCTAGCGCCGCCACTGCTGTAGACCAAATTAATGTTTCTTTTAACCTTTTACCCCCTTATTAATAAACGCAGAATAAGTTTGGATCAATTACTTTGCGTTTTGTCTCTGTTCTTTGAATGACAAATGTCATTTGAGTGAAATGAACTCGGCGTAACTATACCTCGTTTATTAATAAGCGGGTAAGTGTGTTTAGGGACTACTTTTTAAAATTTCTGTCTTGCTACCGACCACTACTAATGATTTACACCCCCCCAGAATTCATAAATTAATTAGCGTTCTTACTCACACAATATTTTTTTAATTGGCTTCGCGGACCACTTCAGGGTCAGGAGCTTCCAGGGACCACCGGGTAAGAACCACTGCTCTAGTCTATGGTATGCACCAAAAGCCGCCAATGTTACCTTGACATAGCACAGTGTCGCTTGCCTAATTTCAAACTTGTCCAACTTCTAGACGGTAGCACATGCCTTGTATCAGTTTGTCGCAAGCCATATCGAGCCCTTACCGCCAAATTATCGTAAGCGACACTTTTGTCGAAATTCGTTTTTTGTGGAAACTAATATTTTAAACCGTAACGGACCCATCTCTGTTGATATTTCCCTCTATTCTTCCCTCTATTATATTATAACGGTGTTCTTTTGGAGGGAAATATCAACAGAGATGGGTCCGTTACGGTTTAAAATATTAGTTTCCACAAAAAACGCATTTCGACAAAAGTGTCGCTTACGATAATTTGGCGAGTGTCGCTTACGATAATTTGGCGGTAAGGGCTCGATATATTGGCGGCTATGAAGATTTATATTATACCTAAAGTAGGATTGGGCACCATGCAGAGTATAAACGTAAACTTACTTTTTGCATCTATTCTTTCAGACACTGTGTTTCTGAACGAGATGATAACAAAACGAAGCACATTTTTTTAATCATTTAATTAATAGAAACCATTGTTCAAGGGAAAAAACCTCAAAAACAAAACAAACTTTTAACACCATTATAAATTGGACAGTAAAAACGTAATAGATAAGTCATTAAATTATTTACAACTTAACTAGACCTTAAATATAAATGAGGATGTATCATCTGGCGGTGTACTTAGTTTTATATTTAGTTATTCGTATTACCATCTTCAATTTTGTATGAAACACAATTTAGTTTTTATTTTTCGTCATGTTTCGTCATGTCCGTCCCCAGTTTAGCTTAGATAACGGTTAGTTAATTGGTTTAGATTGGACTATTGGCACAAGAGAGCTGAAATTTTGTGGAGGTACGTATTTCAATCACGCCGACAAAATGGTAAAGTGGGTGTGATTTTTTTTTCATCGTCTACGCTATCGTGTGGGGTGTCGTTGAATAGGTCTACTAAAATCGCTTCGGGTTTGCTAAGACTTTTTTCGATTTAGGGATCCGTGTGCTAAATATTAAACATTATAAGTAGAAATTTTTATTCTATTACTAAGTCCAGCCCCCCCCTCCTCTAAAAGCTAAATTATTAGCTTGAAAAATCTGGGAAAATTCATCATAATAGTTTCATGAACTGTTAAGTATAATTATTATAACGGGTAAGATAGATCAGTTAGCTCAAGAGTAACAGTCGTTCAACTTATGTATTAAAAAAATCTTATCTTATGAAAAATTCCTTCGAAGAAAACATTAAAGTGACTTAGATGACAATTCAAAAGACCACAATAAAATACCGTTAGTCAAAGCTGCCGCACGTTGGCGCTGTACCAACGGCTTCTGAATCGCGCTATCATTAAGTTTTTATAAAGAGTATAGGAGCACTTGAAACTTCCATACTCATTTTGATATTGTAGTTTTGTTGTAACGACCGGCAACTACGGATCCCTACACTACGCGTGGCACGACGCGCACTTGGCCGGTTTTTTAAATTGGATACAGAGGCACGGGTCAATTACATATAAGGAACATTCATATTTCATTACATTACAAGGCTGGTATTTCTATATATTGACATCTACTAGTTATGAACTATTTTACATTGTTGTACAGGAATCTCCTTTAAAACAGCACCGAGTGCATTGTTGTCACTCTATCCCTTTTTAAGTATAAAACAAACTTTGCTCTGGTAAGAGATAGATTTAAGTAACATTCAGTCAAAGTCCTCTTCAATCGATAAATAAATAAAAGTTCCAATAAAAAATATATCATATTATTATATCCTCTTCCTGGAACATACTTATTTAAATTGACTCAATTAAGATATGACAAATTGTATTATATATAAATATATATATTGCATTAACATTACATTTTAGTATAATAGCTATAAAATTTCATCATCTTTAGTTCCATATCTTTAGGCCATATCAAACAGAAAGTACATGTCTTTCTTAGAAATAATTATTTTTTTCAATCACAAACTTGAAAAATCTTAATTTTTTTAATATAATGTCAAACTTTAAATATACACAATTGCAGTTTTTATTAACACAACATTTAATAAAATATATGGAACAATTTATCTACCTTCATATAAATAACTTTATTTATACATAATTTGTGCACCATCATTTTGATGATTCCCGTTCTAAACATTTATTTTAATTATATCAAGTGACATCTGGTGAAAATTGTACAAAAGACTCTAATATTTAAGATAATAATATCAAATCTCTCAGGGTCTTAACCAAAGCTAGAAGCTACCTAAACAATGAAATAAATATTATTATAAAAAAAATTAGGTAGCTTTAACATTGAAGAAATTAAAAGGAATCTAATGAAATGACAGATCATTTCATTGAAGCTTGGCCAATTAAAATTTAAAGTCATGTTAGGCAAGCGAGTGTGTATAGAGGACTCTATATTAAACTTAGCAATGAAATATATAGAGCCTAAGGGCCTGAAAGCATGAGTGCTTTTTAATGCTCTTTAAATATGAAACGAAATCTATGAGTGCAATTAAGTATTTGTGCACACAGAGGTGGTTTTTAATGAGCGGCCTTGTATTTTAAGTTCTCGATTGACGTTAAGTGAAAATACAGCTGCATAATTATGAAAGTGCTAAAGCCTGATTTTGAAAAGCACTCATGCAAACACTGACTAATAGAATATTTAAAAAAAAACTTTAAAACACATACTAAAATAGACATCCAGTTACATTTCCTAAAATATCATTGGTGAAGTAAAACTTACTTTATTACGCTGAAAATAACCACTATTATCATATTTACATGTGTCTGGCTACAAGATGTCTTTTTATGAGAATTATGATTGCTGTATGTAACTAAATATATTATAATCATGCATATGGCAGTGGTCATACTGTCAGGTATATGTCAGGGGATTGTAATTGTGACTTTAACCTAAAATAGTGATAAAAACGATGACATAGATAATTTCAACATTATCCACTTAACGTTAAAAAACAACAGACAAGTTGTTCAACATTATTTACAATGCAAATTATAGACTATGTAGAAATTCCTAAAAGTGCACAATTTAAGGGTGTTGACCTTACCTGAAAGCATGCATAACAGGGGTTAAAACTTTTTGTTCTAATGGTTGAACCATTTATTCAGCTTTCCTTAAGGCCCCTCTCGCACGCCACGCCTTGAGTAAGTTAAAGGAGAAATACAATTGGAAGAAGTGAACTTGGGATGCGAGTAGCACATAAGCGTACCAGAGTAGACCATATGGATAACCCTGAAAATGAAGAAAAGGGAAAATATTTAATAACTAATTATAGATGCGAAAGTAAATTGTAAAATGGATACAGTTTAAACCAGATATAACAACATTGAAGGTACCTTATAACTTGGGACTTATGTCCAATAGTTGTTATAAGCAATAGACATGAGTAGTCACATTAAATTGTCATATGTATGTATGTAGTATGGGTATAGCTAATGCATATAAACTTGTTTTCCTAAAGTTTGTGTATGTTTTGTTTTCCTGGAATTCTTGGATTTCGATATGACCTTTATCATATCATCATCAGTTATAAGTCGTTTTAAGCGAAATGTCGCTATATATTATATATATAAAAAAATGGGTGCGTGTACTTATGTAGGCGCGTGAGAAGTTATCCTTCTTTGGCATCGTTTAAAATTAGTTTTTAATTGCATGCAAATAATTAATTACAATAAATTAATAAAAAGTCTGGAAAAGGACGAAGTCAATAAAGTTTAGTTTTAATTTGAAAAAATAAATAAATAATCAAAATATTCAATTAAAATCGCTACTGAATATAATTTATTAGAACATATGTGATTTGCACTTGTATGAAACTCAAACACGTATTCCGAACATACAAACTAGAAACATGTGGATAAATATTATAAATATGAATACCTATAACTGTTACTTTATTACAAAAAATAAAGATGTGGTTTTTGGTTCTACTACACCAATGGTCAAGAGATGGCGCTGTAGTCTCCTGAATCGCGCTTTGGTTCCGTTGTTCCAGATTAATAAATACTTTTTGTTACTTTATTACGAAAAATAAAGATGTGGTTTTTGGTTCTACTACACCAATGGTCAAGAGATGGCGCTGTAGTCTCCTGAATCGCGCTTTGGTTTCGTTGTTCCAGATTAATAAATACTTTTGATAGGCCTTCACAATGCAGTCGTTAGCACCCACTAAATAGAGATTCTATTTCTATTTTTAGATGCGTTACTTTTGTGTTTACCGCACATTAAGAGCTAGATTTTCTTAATGTGCGGTAAACACAAAAGTAACGCATGAAGTTGGTCGCTAAAGCCACCAACTTTATTATGTTAAAATTTTGTGTTACAGTGATGCGCGCGCATCTTAAAATTTCACTCTCATCATTTTTTCATAACGCGCCTAAAGAAGTATAACTTCAATAATATTGAATGTTACCTATTATGTAAGCCAAAAAAGGCTAATAACTAAATTAATTTAATTTCAGGACAATCTGCTCACCTGCCAAAGCTCAATTTCAACTTCCGAGCTGTCATCTTCATCTTCATCCATTGATAGGTACCTCCACACATCTGGGCAGTAATACAGGACACAGTATAGTAACGGTCCAAACCCAAATATACCAATACCATAGATATAATGTCTGAGTTGCCTGATGTTGTTCCGTTTAATTGCAGCCAACCCAAGGAAAGAGAAAAGCAGTGATAGACACCAAAGATACTCCCACCAAAGAGGCTGAAAGTAAATTTTAATAAAATTTAGACCACAACAAAACTAAACTGAAATGCAGATTTTTTCATAACAATTTTTGTGTTATTTTAATAAACTAGGAGTGTTATAAAATTGTTACAACACTTTCAATCCTGAAATTGGACAAATTAATTAAGTTCTACAATATCTTACCAAGCTTAAAAAGTGTTAAATTATTATAATAAATCACTTACTTGTGGTATTTGCAATTCTTCAATCTCGAGGATAAATATATCAAGTTTGTCAAGAATATCAGCAGACAGTTTGGCCAGCATCACAAGGAATAGAATGTGATGAAAGAATACGCAGTATTTTAATCGCGATTTGTTCAGTGCACTGAAAAAGAAACAGAAAAAACATTAGATAATAAACTGAAATATTTGAACCATTTCAATTGATCAGTAATTTGGACTGCAGCTAGAAGATATTACCCTAGGAGGTAATAGTTATGACATGTTCTCATTCTACAATTTTTAAACATACGGCGCGAAATCTAATTCACCATCAATTGCTTTTGGCTAAAAATAATTTGACGGAACTTGATAAAATAAATGCAGACTGTCACGTTACAGCAAGCTCATAAATTTCCCTAATTTTCTTCATGGTCATATGTTGCACATATAAATAAATAAAACGTACCTTAATTGATATTGAATAGCTATTTTCTCTCTGTGCTCGAAATCAGCACCGTTTGTCCCCGTAACCATAATACCTCGTGAAGCCATTTTTCTAAATTAATTTCACAAACCGAACAATTTGAAATAGTTTGCACCTTTGTTAGATATCACACAAAACACATCATTCACATACAACTGTTATTGGTAAATTATTTTTCAAAATTCCATTTCCAATTTCCCAGCTGGCAGATCGCGAAAGAGCGAAATGACAAAACTGCCAACGTCAATCCAACGTTTCAAGGTTTCAGACAAAACGTTACGTACTTATCATAATTTCAATTTCAATTTGTATTACAAAAGTATTATAAATAAAACTGTTAACGGTTAGACGAGTAAATAAAAATATTTCACATTCAATCAGTTTATTTTATTGGTACGAGTGTTGCAAATTTTTTTTATTTCATAATATTAATTCTAAAATAGTGCGGTAGATAGTTTTTTTTCACGTGTAAAGGAACGGTACAATGCGCATGTGTGCATTGACGTTTGACACGTTCGGAAACACCATGGGGGTTAGAGATAGAGAATGATCGCTGTAGAAAATAGTGTCTCAGAAATATGGACAAAAAGCGGGCTAATTTGAAATGACCAATGCCCTGAAGAAAATTTGTACAATATTCAACTAACTTCATCTACTTGTACTACTCATAAACAGCTAATTTCACAGATACTACTTACCGACGGCAGCACGACTGGTGGCTGAAAAATGAACTATAAATTCTACAAATTTTCAGGGACAGCCGGGCTAATGCTTTAGTACGTAGCGATCGTTCTAACTAAATATAATAAATAAAATTAAAAATATATACGAATTAACATAGATGGGTCAGGCCGCCATTTTTTGCTGATATGGCGCAGAAGTATTGTGTTGGTGGCGTAGAAACTTCTACGCGTCGTCGGTGACGTTGAGTAGCGTATGAAGCCCGTCACAGACGTAGCTATAATATATATTAATATGAATCATAGCAAGACATATTACAACATATTTTCAATATAAATTTTCGAGTGACCGCACACGCAGCTATAATATATATTTCTATGACGTCACCAAAATATGTCGACAGATATATTTTGGCATATTAGTGTATATTTTGGTATATTAATATATATTTTGATATATTAATATATATTTTGATATATTTTTATGATACGGTATGTTTCATTTTTCACCGAACGCCTGCCAAAATATATATTATAGCCGTGCCCCGCGGTTTCACCCGCGTTTTTCTCGTTTCCGTGGAAATACTGAGATAAAATATGCAAGCAAGCGCGCGTGGATTTCCTTAGCAGAGTTATTTTAGAAATGTATTTATTATACTCTTCAAAGATCTTATACTTACAATTATCAACAAATATATTTCGAAAAAGATTATTACAGGATTTTATGTTAATAAAAAACTCTATGGCCCATAACTCATTAATAGGTACCAACTCTTAACATCTTACACACGTGATAACTTTTAAACGAAATATCCGATTGAGATGAAACAAAAAGTATTTTACTTCTACATAAATACTCTTGATAACATAATGCTTAATTTCGATAAATATTAATATTACGATAGGTACATATTTAACGTAGTTTTTTTTCTTCAGACGATGTAATAATTATTTTGAACACAAAATCGGTTATTGTGATTAAACCATGATAGCTAGATATATGTTCTCGCAGACTTTTTTGTAGGTCTTAATGGGATCTACAAACCCGTAGTACATCATTTTGTTCTATTGTCAATAGTTTTTGCAGCGCACGCAAAAATAGGTTTTCGATTTTACACCTTGTGTTACAAAATAGCTATTTTATTACGGATACCTAATTTTGAAAGAAAAAAAATATAGCCTATAGCCTTCCTCGATAAATGGAATACTCAACACTGAAAGAATCATTCAAATCGGACCAGTAGTTCCAGAGATTAGCGCGTTCAAACAAACTCTGCAGCTTTTTAATATTAGTATAGAAGTATAGATAGTACAGCTCCCGTCTGTGGTAGTTTGTATAATATAATATCTCCATATATAAATATATATAGCTACGTCTGTGACGGGATATATTTTGGCATATTAGTATAATACGGAATGTTCAACTTCTATTTTTCGTTCCTGACAAGGCAACATGCATATCAAATTCAGCATCGGAATCATCCTCTGAGGAACTTTCAATTAAATCTAAAAGTAGTGCTCTTGTCGAATTCATTTCGGTAAGATCGATTATAACGTTATTTCAAAATTAAAACACCCTGTGCTAGAAAATAAGCTTTAAAACCGTGCACTTGCAAAAACGACCGCAGACCGAGTGAGGGCAAAATATATATTATAGTATAGCTCCCGTCTGTGGTAGTTAGCTATAATATAATATATATTTCGATATATTAATATATATTATAGCTACGTCTGTGACGGGCTTGATAGTGACGAATAAATGTTAAGGTTGGCATACACATGCCAAAATATTAAGATTAAATTATGTTGTATAACGTAATTGCACCAATTATGGACACTTTAAGGATGAAAAGGTGGGTTTTTGCAGGATTATTCCTAATATATCAGGATTTTGTTTAAACATCAATGTTGAGCTTAATGTCCGTCTTTTTTCCTTTATGCTTATGCCGAAAAAGTTAGAAATAACCGCATAAAAATGAGAGATATCATTAAAATATAAACACGGTTTTTTAAGCTAGTAATGGACAAGAAAAATCATTTAATGGACATCCAGTGATGAACATGCACCAAATATGGACATCTAATAATGAACACAATTTAATAATGGACCCCCACTAATGGACCAGCTCGTTGAATTTAGAATAAGAAGTAGTTCCCTATATCTAAGTAAATAAAAACATCAACAATTTTATAATCAACTAGACATTTATTATATTTTTATTTTTTAAAGCATTTATTTGCTAGATTTTAAATCTAAAGAAAATTTTTACTAAAAAAAATTCCACGCGGTCCAGGCAGCAGACGGGACTCGAAACTGCACCCTCCGCTATCCGGGCAGATGCACTGACCATTATGTTACCGTGATCTATGCCCTGCAGCCTAAGAAATACAAGCTGAAATTACACGAATGGGTTTAGTTAGTATACATACATACACTCTCGAAAAACATTACCCTCCTTTCTTCGGCAGTCAGATAAAAAGTTAGTATAATAAAAACAAGTGGATACCTACCTTTATTTGGTGGCGTAGAGGAGGTGACGAATATCTACGCTACCGTTGGCGTTGAAGTACCAAAATGGTAGCGTATTTCTACTTCTACGCTATCGTCGCGTTGAGAAAACCACTTATATCTCTGTAAATAAAGTATGTGAGTTGCATTGTAGCTCCAAACATGGCTTTCACTTCTACTAACATGATGCACTATTTGTTTTTCGTGTAACAATCAAACTTACTTTTTTATGCACAAAAATCTTACCTTGAAAAAATTGTGTACACAAACTACACCAGACGTTCACATGTCAACTGTCAAAAATATAGCCGCTCATCAAGCCGCTGTCCACAGATAACAGAAACTCAGTGTTGCTGCTTCCCGATTTGAACTTCATCGATTCCTAAAGTTTAATAGAACATGTAGAATAGGTGACGTTGACAAAAGTGGCGTATAAGTACAGTTTTTGACGAAAACTTATTTGAAATCATTTTCAAGGAAATTCTTAGGATAAACGTTGCTAAATTAAAAGCATGGATAGCTATTAATATAAGTATTCTTATAGTATCAGCCATGTCTCAAAAACTGACATACTTTTTGCTACTACGATAGTTAAAGTGCACCTCGACCTCGGCGGATAGAAGTTTTTATGTAATTTTACTACCTTTTGTTCAGATTTCATTCGAAATATATTTTTGGTTTATTATCTGACCTGAAATAAACATAATGTCCACTTGAGTCACTTTGTTGCTTAATCCAAAGCCGTCATCGAAAATCCGATATCTATAATACTTTTCAAAATACTGACCGCGGAGAAAACAGTTTTCAAAATCAGCAAAAAATGACGGCCTGACCCAGATACATATATAAATACATACTATGAAAGGAATACAAACATATATAGGTACTACAATTATATTTAAATATTTATAGTAAACACATAAATAATCACATAATAATGATTAATAAAGTGACTCTTCATCTTAAATTTTAATGCAGATGAGCGAACAATCCTTTTAAATATAAGTTTTTTAGGAGATCTTCTGATGGAGTCGGGTAGGTCATTCCACAGGCTTGAAAAGTAAAGGAGTTGGACATATAGCCAGAATGAGATAGAGCAATAAAGAGAGCTAATGAATCGCAATACCGGAAAGGACTATCACAGAGATGTTCAAACAAACAAAAAATTATGGAAATTATGGAAAAAAGAGTGCAGAGTAATCGTAACTGCCTGCGCTGGCGGATAGGAAGCTATTTTAGTTGTGATCGATATGAGGTAATATGGTCAAGTTTGCGGAGGCAAAAGACGAAACGGATAGCATTATAGATTAGGCGGTCTAATTTGTTGAAAAGACCTGCGTTTAAGTCAGGATAACAGACATTGGCATAATCAATGAGTGGTAGAATAAGAGACGTAACGAGAGTAATCTTAGTTTTTATGGGGAGAAAATATCTGAAGCGATTAAGAAGGGAACGTAATGAAAAAGTAACGGCTCGGCTGACTTCAGCAATCTGCGACGTGAAACTTAGCGTGGTATCAATGTGAAGGCCGAGATTCTTGAAGCTGAGGCTAAATAGAATTCTAGAACCTTCAAACACAACAGATGGGAGCCGCCGTCAATCTTTGCGATCTGCTTCGAGCCACCTACCTACGATTGCCTGCCATTTAGTGGGGTTAACAGCGATTCCAAAGTCTGCAGACCACGAACTTACATTGTATAGATCTTTATTTCGCTGAGATATACCAGCAGCCATTTCCTCAACAGTAGTCTGCACATAAATTTGCAGATCATCAGCGTAGAAATGATAAAAACAGCCAAGCGAGAAGGAAACAAAATTGATGAAGAAAAAGAATAGAAGTTCCTCAAGGGGGAATTCCCTTGAGGAGCACCAGCAAACAGGGCATTCCAGTTAGATAATTCACGTTCCTTGCGCACTGCCTGCTGGCGATCAGAGAGGTAAGATGAGAACCAGTACAATGTAAAGGATGAAAAATTATGGAATTTCAAAAAACGAACAAACCGTCTTAACAATTAAGAGTTCAATGTCTATTGGAGCCCGCTGTTCTATTGGTTTTACGTTCTTAGACCATTTACTATATCTATTGGTTCTACGTTCTACTATGGTTCGTCGTACCAGTGAAATATTGTGTATACGAACAGTGCATAATTACTATAAATCCAATGATTTGGTCCTTCGAGCTGGATTTATAAACGCAACGGTTAATATCCCTCAAAACATCTAGGTATATTCCATGACATCATTCCATAAAGTATATGTACCTACATTCTTTAACATTAACTCGGTAAATGTTAAACAAGCGATAAAGATCTTAATTGTTCGACCTACGATTGTTTTATAAACACAGCACATTAATGAAGGATTATTTTGGCATTCTGTGCTTCTAGTTGACTCAGCCCGCTTATAAATGCATGTTCATAATTCTGATTCCTATATTGTTTGTGTGGTTATCGCCAATATGAAGTGTGTTTATGTGTTTGCTCTATTCGCCCTTGTGGTTCTTCAGGTAGGCACGAGAATTGGAAAGAATAGATTTATTATTTTCCCTAATACCTATAGTAATCATGCCATTTTAAAATATTTTACAATAATTTTATAAAACCAAAGACTAACTATTTTATTTTTGTGCCAGGTGTGCCATACCGCGCCGGTACCCGAGGATAAAAAAGAGGAGGTGGCTACAGATCCCACCAAAGTTGTAGACCCCTCCAAAGTGGTAGAAACCCCCAAAGTCGTAGATTCCCCCAAAGTCGTAGATCCCGCCAAAGTAGTAGCAGCTGTAGAACATGTTGAGGTGAGTACTTCTATACTTTTAAAAAACTTAATATTTTAACCTTCTTTATTATAATGAATAAATAAAGACTGCAAAATAAAATAAGGTCAAATTAGTCTTTACTTCCAAACATTCGACTTGCGTTTATGATGTCTATATGCTTCCGAGGTTGATGGATAATTTTGTAATCCACTTTCTAATCCATAGTAACATAGCAGTCGTTAGAACTTATCGGTCCGCACTGGCCTCAAGTGGTCAGTGGCCCGATCTCCCTCCTCCTTTTGGAAGGTCTGTGCCCCCAAAGCAGGGATATTGTCAGAATGGTAATCATAGTAATTTAATTTTGCAGGTATCTCCTGAACAATCTCACGTTGATGATACGCCAGCAAAGGTAGCAGAAGAAAAGGCTACAGAGGAGAAGAAAGCCTAAAAGGGGGATTCCTGGTGGGAAGACAAAAAAAAATTGTGATTATTACTATACCATCTGAAATTTCGGCTTATACACATATTAGCAAGTAACCATCAAGACTCTCTTACCATAACCTTGTCAGATTAAAGTATTTTTGATTAGGAATTTATTTTATTTGCCAATTAAGACTTTTTAATTATTTAACATATATTTTTAATAATAAGGGCGTGAATATATTTTATACTGAATCACGTATAGCATTGAAAGCAAGATCTTTCAAGGCTAGTGGTAATATAATCAAAGTGAAATTAGCGCTAGTAGAGGTATTTCTATAGTATGTAATGACATCTAAAACTTTATTATTTCATTTTGGGTTCTCTACATTTTTGGGTAAGGAATTCGGTCAAGACAAGACGCAATTAAAATACGCGAGTAAGCAGTACAAAGTTTATTATATCTGTAGGTATACGTTGTGACAGTTTGTGTGTATAGAAATCAATCAGTCGTGAAGAACATAATGTCGCGAACGCTTCCTCTTGATGGAAACTCGAGCGGTGCAAGTGCGACCGCGCCTGCACTGCCCACGCGACAACGCTGCGCGCTCTCACCCTGGATGTATAGTGTTACCTGCAACGTTGATATTCCTATTATCCCACTAATATTCTATTGTTCTACTAATGTAATGTAAATGTTTCTATATTTGTTACACAATCACGCAAAAATGACTGAACTGATTTATATGAAATTTGGCACACATAGTCTTTCACCTGGATTGAGACAAGGGATCCTAAGTTCCTGTGGGATTTTATTGGAAGATAGTAAAACTATAAATCCAAAAGCACTAGTCATTTTACTTCAATCGGTATATAGTACTCAACTATGCTTACAAAGGATCTCAAGTTTCACGCTTCCAACGACAAGTATCATCACTAGCATGTGATGCAACTAAAATACAAAGCTAAAAGCCTTTACTGTTTGGCAAAGCGAAGAAAAACTGCAGAATTATCCTTGATGTGAAATACTTTATCATCTCTAGGCACGGATAACCAGATCCAAATAAAAAGCGCGATTAAACACATTTAACACACAGAAGTTATAGCACGTGTATCCGTTATTGCTGATGTTATACATTGTTAACTGATAAGGGACTATAGCCAGACCCTTCTTTCCCAGTGGGCATTTGTGCAAGTGACCAGGGCCCCACGATCGATAGGGAGCCCCCTCAGATCAAATACAAAGTCCCTAGTTCCTGTTAAATCACCAAATGGAAGTCATAGGGGCCCCATTATCCTAATATGCCCAGGGCCTACAATAGGTCAAAGACGGCACTGACTATAGCAAATTGAAAATATATTGGAATCTAATACAAAGCACTGAATTCAGATCTAATCGTTATACCCATGCAACTAGGCTAAAGTTAAGAAATACAGTAAACCTGCGCTCGCTGCTAATTTCACAACTGTCATAAAGTTTGAATAGTACTATAAGTACCTGTGGAGGCGGTCCATGTCTACTGTTTTCATTGGACAGCGGAACTGATCTGGGTTCTCTTGTAGACTCTTTCCGGCGCCTTTTGGCGCTGGATCTACGATTGTCTTGTTGGCGCCTTCTACCCGTGATGGTTGAAGATTCTGTTGAAACAAATAGTGAACATAACTGTGAGGTAACACAATGAGGCAGTTGTGGAATAGGGCTGTAAAAATCAAGCCCTTCAATAAACGCAAAGTTCGTTTACACGGTTTATTGCTTGGGCGAAACATCTTGTTTTTGTTAACGCAAACGCTGTGTAGGTAAATAGAAATTAGAAGTTGACCATAGCCGTTGAGTTGTTTACAAAATACCTACTTTATCAACCTTCTGGAATTTTGAAATAGGCAGAGCCAGAAAGAGAATTTTACCCTCATATGTTGTAGATAGCCAGTGAGAATGAGACACGAGGAGCTCGATGTAAGCAAGCTTTCGCAATGTCTGGACTTAGAGTATGGTGACCAAAAATCAGAGGCGGCGTAAGGCGTGGGCGACGTGGGCCACCGCCTACGGCCTCACGGTACAAGGGGCCTCGCGCCTCAAAAAATTTTATGCACTGCTTAAAAGCGTTTTTTTTATATAAAATCCGTCTTCAGGTCGCCACAGAACAGGGCCTCGCGAAATCTGTCTTGCCCGCATCAAATTTAGGTCTTGCTCCGCCACTTCCAAAAATGTATCATTCCGAGTTCCTCCGTGCTTTGAAAGGCACGCTAAGCTATTGACCCCAGTTATGCAGATGTTAACGACTGCAGATGCCTGCAGCCGTTAACATCCTCAACCAATCCACACTGGGTACATGCCACGTGGAGAGTCATGGTCCTCTGTGCCTTTTCCATCCATAGTGAAGTCTTGCGCCCCAGCAGCGGGATTGTAAATGGGCTGATGATGATTATGTCGTGTGATAATTACCGTCGGCGTCGTCGTGATCTTTTGGTAGCGGTGGCGGCAGCGGTTGTGGCGGCGGTGCAGCGCGAATGATGGTCGACCTGCGACTCTCAATCAGCCGCACTAAGCACTCTAACGCTGTTTGTTTATTCTAAAAGATATGAATAATTTCAATGCTATTGTTTCAAACTTGCATGATAACTATTGGTTCGCGAGTCCCCGATATTTAGGTACTATTGCAAGTGTCAAGATCGCGAAGTAACACAGAGACTAGCAAAAAAGCTATCTACCTACATAGTAGCTGTCCCGCTAATTACACTAAATGAATTCCTTTTGGTGGTATTGTGTTTCTAATGGTGAATAAGGTTTCAGGATGTAATTACATGATAGACGATTGAGTTGAACTTAATTTTGAGGCCGGCGTGTTGAGAATGGCTGGATAGGCACACTTTCTCTGCCTCATCAGTCATGGGTGACCGCTATGACCGCCTTAACTTAACATCAGATAGGGGGATAATTTTTTGCACCATGAGCGGTCGTTCATCATATTCTATTATATTAGAAAATCTTAATATTGTGCATATTAAGATTTTTTGATATATAAAATAAATAAATAAATAAATATTTCCGACACTCACACCAATTAGCCTAGCCCCAAAGTAAGCACTATAAGGCTTGTGTTATGGGATGCTAGGGTAACGGATAGAATACATATACTGTACATATATAAGTATATTTATATAAATACATATTAAACATCCATGACTGGAGTACAAATGCTCGTATTCATCACACAAACATCTGCCCCCACCGGGATTCGAACCTGGGACCTCTCGAGTCGGCGACAGCCATGAAACCCGGCGTACAAACCACTCGGCCACAGAGGTCGTCAAATATAGAACTAACATGACTACTCGCAAATCGTAAATATTAGACATTTACCTAAATACTAATAGAAATGAACACTATTAATACCCTTATTTCTTCTAGTAAAGGATTGAAAACGGCAGGATCTGTAGAATCCTTGAGAGCTTCCCAATTCTTGAATAGTTTTCTATCAGAAAGCCTCACGGTACTTTCCAGCTCACGGACTTCTGCAAATTAGTTAGGTTAATTTGCAAGTCATACTTTTAGATAATCATATAAACAGAACATGGAACTTTCTGTGATCTGTGGTCATTTGGGATTGGGAATCATACTCACATCAACAATAGATTTATCCAATCTATGGTCAATGTTTTGTGATAGTGACACTATAAAGTCAAATAAGGTAATTAACTACTAAAATGAGGAATCTGGCACTATGATTAAATGCTGTAGTACCTAATTAAGTGATTATTTCGCAGTGCACCAATTGCTTTGTAACAAATTAAAACTCAACGCATACTTTACCGGTTTCTTTTAAGCTGGACAAATGTGCCACGAGGTGCTTCTTAAACGCGCGCACGGCTCGACGCTGGGCGCGAGTTCTCGCCACGAAGTCGCGCGCGTTGCGAGCCTCTGCTGCCAACGAGGCGACTTCACGTGCTTCTTGCTCTAAACGGCGTTTTAATTCGCTGCAGCAATGTGTATACAAAATTATTCGATCGATCTCATGCTGAAAATACCATCAATCCATCAATAAAACCAACAACATAGAAAATGAGACTATTTTAAGATGTCTTATACAAAATTTGGCACGTCAAAGAGCAGAACGCAACAGTTTATAGTGTAAGGTAGCAGTTAGCGGTAAGTAATGCAGATTTAAGATAGTCCATTATTCGAAAAAAAATATTAAGTATACAATAGTGTCGATTTTGGCATGATTCTCTTAACTTAAAACTAAATTTAACATCAGTCTCTCCTTTTCATTCTGTATAGAAAATGACAAGGATGCACCGTTATTAAATTTAATTTTAGGTTTCTAGAATCCTGCAAGGTATCATATAACATTACATAGATTTTAGATACCTACCATATTAACATTCTTACGTTTAAAAAATCACTCAACGTCACTTTTACTGTTTTAAAAACAATTTTCTAGGTTACCAAATACCTTGGATATTCTCCTGTGATTTGGGAATAAGACTGAATATTTCTGACTATTTCCACCAGGTGGTGCAGTTGGTCACAAAACTCTGGCAGCTGCTCTGGAGTCAAATATTGACCGCCGTACCTTTGGCCACAAATAACGAAAAATCAGTAAAAGTCACTAACCAATCAACTCTGTGTGATAGGGTATAGAACATAATCCAATAGAATGTTTCACTGTTACCAATATTATGTGCAACTTAACTAACCTGAGGTCAATGTTGGCAGCAAACTGATTGGCATCTATTGGGGCGTTGGTTGAACTCGTCGACGTCATGTTGGGAGCATCCGGGTCATCATCCTCATTATTGGTGCTACAGCCTGTACTTTCACTACAAGAATTGGTTAGTAAGCAGTACCTACTTATATAATCAATAAATAATGATAGGTTCTCAATCGATAGTGCTCCCCTGGTGGAAGCAGGGGAGCAAAGGCTGCGGGTCCTCAGATTCGATACTCGATCCTGAGGCCTCGTACAATGCCTGATGGCGGCCATCGCTGGGGTTTTAGTGGGTAGGCCTCCCCCTTCTGGGGAGGAGAGCCCCACATAACCACCATGTGGTATGCTTTAATGCATTTCCACAGCGTATCAAAAAAAAAGGTTCTCAATCGATGGACTGACGCGACAATCTAGTGAAGATCGCAGGAATCCGCTGAATGCGAATAGCGCAGGACCGATCGATGTGAAATCCTTCAGCAAAGGGGCCGTCCATATATTACGTCATTCTAAATTAGGGGGGGGGGTCTGCGGATGACGGTAAATGATAGATAGGGGGGGGGGGGGGTTCGAAATTGACGTCATTCTTATTTATTTATTTATAGTTTATTGTTCACGTACAAAAAGATTATTTCTAAAACGAAATTTCTTCCAGCTGACACTGACACACCACTCAGCTGAGACTGCAAATGTGATAGGCGGCTAAGACGCGTACAATACTAAAATAACTCATAATAAACATACATAATGCAACATATATGTACACAAATACAGTAATAACTACAGATAAAATACTCTAACAATAATATTACATATAATACTAGCTTTTCTCAAATCTGCAATGTTTTAATTTTGTCAAACTGGTAATGACGTCAATTTTGGGAGAAGGGGGGGGGGGGGTCATTAAGAAATGACGATAGAATGATTGTAGGGGGGGGGGGTCTAAAATCTGAAAAAATCGATGACGTAATTTATGGACGGCCCCAAAGGGCGTCGACGGCTGATATTATGACAATGATGATGATTCAATAATCCAACTAAATATTTCTCAGGTACCTACAGATTTTGCAGCTTGTATGCGGTTGCGTGTGCTGTTCACAAAAAAAAAGCCATAACTGTACTAAATTCAACTCGCAGCCTAAGTGAAAATCGAGAAGTTATATGTAATATCATATCTAAGTCCTTAATAACACATTATACGCTTAACGCACTACTGTTTTATTTATTTAAAAATCTTCGTAATCAGTAAAAAAATATCCGAACGCATTTCGACTTACGTAGTTATAGGCGCCATTTTTTTAAAAAATACAATAAACAGTTTTTTTTATCTATCGTGGAATTACAATTTGAGAGTGCTAGCTTTTTGAATTCTATGTTAATTGGACAAAATTAATACAAACTCGGAAATATTAAAAAACTTGAGACTTATTGTTTGTGGTTATTTAATATTCTAACATTACGTTACAAAAGATTAGTCCAAGCCCGCGCAAGCCACGGCAACGACCCTAGTTGTTAGATTACAATGTCATGACACGTGAGTTACGTATGTTCATTATGACTTGTGAAGCGTGTAAGGGGCGATTGAAACATAATGAAGGCCATTTTATTAGTGCAAGTGGTAGCACATTAAACGAAATTTGGGTATGCATCGGGTTTCACCATGGTGGTGGTAGTCACAAGTCACAACCGCCTAAAAGTTTGAATCGCACTATAGCCAAATGCTTATCGAAATTTAAATAAGTTCTGTCGTAATGAATTAGCGGGTGCGTCTAAAGACGCTAGCTTGACTGACGATAATTTGATACGCTAAAAGAGATTGTGCAAACCGATTTTGTATATGTAGCTAAAGGAGCTTACTTTTTACTACCGAAGCGAAATATTTACGCGAAGTTTCGTCACGTGGTGTGAGATAAGCATAATGGAGTAATGGAACAGGATTTCACCGTCTCCTTCACTCACACAGTGGATGTAAGAGAGAGGTTCTTGTCCAAAGTGGAATATCGATGCTCGCCACGCAGCCTGCCAAGCAGCCGACTGAGTAGCCTGGATTGCCGCCCGCCCTCCATACCACGGTGACGACTCTTCGCGGGAAACTACTGGATTACTAGAAAAAAACTTAAAAAGAATTATACTTACACTAATGCTAAGCCGATGCTGAGGAGCTCGATGGCGCAAGTGGTTAGCGCGTTCGGCTGCGATCGTTGAAGTTAAGCAACTTTCGTAGCGGTCGGTCATTGGATGGGTGACCAAAAATTCACTATCTCGAGCTCCACCGTGCTTCGGAAGGCACGTTAAGCCGTTGGTCCCGGCTGCATCTGCAGTCGTTAGCACCCACCAATCCGTACTGAGCCCGCGTGGTGTATCATGGCCCAATCTCCCTATTCCATCCATAGGGAAAGCCTGTGCCCCAACAGTGGGGATATTATAAGGCTGATGATGATGATGATGAATGCTAAGCCACACTGTCCCGCCATTGCGAACATTTTCTTTTTCACGACAAGTCGGGCCGAGCTATTGTCAGATTTCAGAATACGATCAGATACTATGGCTTGGTTAGATGGGTTGTGAAAACTGCAATGTTCGCGATAGTGCAATAATGTGGCTGTAGAGTAAGTGTAAGCAATGTTGAGAGAAAGGACAATTGGTGCAGCGACAACGCTTCTGCTGCAAAGGTACCTACTACAAACTACTTGGGTTCGAATCACGGTAAAGGCATTTATTTGAGTCCGATTTCTAACAACAAGCGCTCCAAAAATGTGCCTCACCTGTATAGTTATTATCATCAAGTTTCCCATGAGGTTCTAACAACATGCGCTCCAAAAATGTGCCGCACCCGTAATACTGACCTTGCCGGCCTGAACCTAAGTAGGTACCTAATAATTCCTATCTCGGGGAACCTTACTAATCTACAGAAAGTGCCTATAGAAACGCAAACAGTGTAATTTCGCTATAATCTTCTGTAAAATAGAATGCAGGTCACTAGATCAATTGGATTGCACAAAAAATATACCTATGCATTCAACGATAAGTCATACGTAATAAAATTATCTCTTTACCTAGCTAGAGGATCAACTTCTATCTGCTTTTTGTACTTACTTCATAGATTTGGTACATGTGACTTACTTGCTTATTAACTTAAACATTTAGGTCTGTAGATGGTGCGCTCTTGCCTTTAGTTGCATAAAATCCCATCTTCTAGAAATACTGTGAATGTGTAAGAGTCGTTGCTTTTGCTGATAACATGCTGGTTGGATGTTAATTTGACAACGCCATGTTATTTAAATGACATATTGATGACCAAAGATAATATAAAAATTCAACAAGTCAAGCGTGTCAATTTTATACTTTTTTTGTTGAACTGTCTTTAACGAAGAGATTTGATCAAATTTTCAATAAAACCTTGTTTAACGGTACAAATTTTTGCCGCCGTGAGAACGGCCGAGTTGTATTAGTATTTTACTAATGGTAGCCATACACACTACGAGAAATCGTTACGATCAGACTGTACAGTTCGAACGGAACAGTTATTCGTACGTGGCGTACGTATAGGAAACTGTGCAGTTTTATAACATACACGCTACGATTCATCGGTACCGTTCGGACTGTACAGTCTAATCGTAACGATTTCTCGTAGTGTGTATGTCTACGATAATAGTGTCAGCGTTCGGTCTGCAATCGTAGAAGTTCAAAGCCATTGGCCCCACAGCTGCATCTGCAGTCGTTAGCACCTACCAATCCGCCACGTAGGGGTTACTGTCACGGTCTATCCATACCATCCCCATAGAGACCTGTGACCCAGAAGTGGGGTCAATAATATCCATCTTCATAGGCTCATTGTCGTCAGAAATAGGCTGAAGATGATGAGTTGGAGGATTTTTGCTAAGCATTTGCTTCTTTTTGCATTCTCGATAATTTTAATGGAATCATTTGGCGTAACATTCATTAAGGTTAAGCATCAAACTTTATAAATATCGATAAAAGCTACTTTTACTAAGGTCTATTCTGTTAAATTTTTTACTCTTATTTGAATTTCATAAAGACTATCTTATTTTGCAAGGTAATAACTGGCTGATTTACAGACCAGACTCATATAAAATGGAGACTGAGAAAAAAACGAGACATAGTTATTAAAATTTATTGTAATTCATATAAAAATACAGTAATATACATAATCGCATCATTGCCAGCGAAGGCATACAAAAGTTACATTATAATAAAAACGCCAACTGCAAAACATCCGAATGCAAATTGAGACAAAACATTTTAAGTACATTCAACATCATTACAGGCACATCTCAGTCAGAGGTAAAATACGACTCCGTCAATAAATTTAGAACAAGGTGTTTCAGTATTCGGACTTTTAAGCCCTAAAACACTAGACGAAATAGTAAATACTACACAGTACCGTAGACAACATTGTAAATACAAAGTACAAGATAATAGATTGTGGCAAATCCTAAGTCTATTAGAGAGTTTGGCTAGCACAGTTACCGCAAGCTAAGATTACAAGGTTATTGAAATAAAAAAATAATCTCCTATTCAAGTAAATAATACCTAGTGACCGCGACACATTTCAGTAAATAATAAATTGCCTTTTGCGAGGATTAAAGTACACTTATGCAAAACAGAGTTAAGAGAGCTAGCATGGGACCATAATTATCCAAAAACTAGCTACAACAACCAAAATAAAGCTACTAGCGTTCAACAAAGGCACGACGAATATGACCGAGACTAACCCTAATATAACTGGTCCCAGCTAGATCTTAACTAAACGCGCGCCGCGGGAAAAGAACTTCTTTCTTCAGTCTCCAATTTTACCAGAGCCCTGAAGAAAACCCGCCTGGAGGCACGCGCACGCGTCTAGGGGCCTCAACTTTAACTGGTTCTTGCTGAGGGACTTGAGTCTGGGGACTTTCGACTTTATGGCATTCTACCTTCTCCTCGCATTTTGGCTCTGGAGGTGTTTGTGGCTCAGCTGCTTGCTGCTCTGGTTGAGCCGCTTGCTGTTGTGGTTGGCTCGCTTGCTGTTCTGGTGGGCTCACTTGCCCGTTCTGAGTGGCTTCCTCTGTGCCATTTCTGCTTTCCATTAGTTTCTGCTGCTCCGCTTGTTGCGCTGGAAGCAATGTGTAAGTGTTTTTTAAACTAAGTTTTATTAATAAATAAAATCGGAAATGGAATTATCCAGGAGAAACTGAGCATTGCAATAAAGACTTCCTAAAAAATAGAGACTACAAGAATGAAGGTGGTCTAACTTCGCACTTCAAATAACATTTGGAAGATACCCACAAACTTCAACCACAAATTATACTTTGAAATTAAAGTGGCAAATGTTTGTGAAAAAGTTAGTAAAGTTGCAAATGTCAAATTAAAAGGTATACTGATTCGAGTCGAAGTTACTCTATTTGCCGCTTGGAAGGCTGAAGTCTTATAAAAATATCTTAGCAATCATAATAGACAAAGTTAAGATAATTGGAAAAAAGACATCATAAGGCGAAGTTAGCAACTTCGCCACACAGATGTTTGCCAGCGGATAAGGTAGTTCCGGAAGCTATCGTAGACGATAATTATGCTGATAAACTGTCTTTTCCGTAGAACACTCGGACTAATCAATGCCACATATATAATAGACTCAAGGAGACGTGCTTGCCTAATATAATATCACATATTAACTCCGTGAGAGATAATGTTCTTAATGTTTTAAGCTGTCAGTTCCGATTTTCTGAAGTACTTGAAGTACATAAAGAAATAAATAATTGACAATTAAAAAACCGCCTGGGGAGCGCAGCACCCTGCTCGACAGCATAAGGTTGTCGGTGAGCCCAACGTTGAACGGTTTAGAAGCCATTGTAATTACTGGAACAGTTCCTTGTTGACTCGGATGCTCTCATAGTAGTACTCACCAGCGATGACAGAAGGAGCAGGGCGACCCCCGTAGATGTGCCTGGGGTTGTCAGTGAGCCCAACGTTGAGCGGTGTAGAAGCCATTGTAATTACTGGAACAGTTCCTTGTTGACTCGGATGCTCTCATAGTAGTACTCACCAGCGATGACAGAAGGAGCAGGGCGACTCCCGTAGATGTGCCTGGGGTTGTCAGTGAGCCCAACGTTGAGCAGTGTAGAAGCCATTGTAATTACTGGAACTGTTCCTTGTTGACTCGAAACCTCTTCTTATATTAGTACTCACCAGCGATGACAGAAGGAGCGGGGCGACGACCGCGCTGGGGCTCCGGCTCTCCCCCGAAGATATCGGTGTGTCCACCGCCAGGGGGGCGCAGCACCCTGCTCGACAACCTGGTGTTGTCGGTAAGACCAACGTTGAACTGTGTAGAAGTCATTTTGAATGCTGTAACAATGTTTAACGCAACATGAAGAGATTGATCAGATTATAGAAAGCCTATTGAATTTATCATCATCATTTGGTGTGGGAAACAGGCCTCCCTATGGTTAAATTGGGAAGTACGGCTCATAACTTACCACGCCCAGTGCGGATTGGTGGGTGCTAACATCTGCAGATGGAGACGAGACCAGCGTAGGTCACTCATTATATGACCGGTTTCATAATGTTTTCATCTTAATGGGAGTACAGAAGCTGAGAGCTGGTCCAGCAAATATATCGTTAATGTTTTAGAGTAAGATTCCAAGTCTACAATACCTAGCTTATATTCTCATGGACAAAATATGAATAATGAAGTAGAAATCAGAAATAAATATATCTTTATTCCAATTGGATGTAGGTATAGTACAACTCCTTTGAATCGTCCTAAATTTTTTTTCCCTACCACTCGTTATGGACATATTTTTTAGCTGCCGTAAAAAACGAGCGAAAGAAACTCCACAACATTAAAAGTCTAATGTAACAACATTTACAAATCATTGTTGTTACAACTTCAATACAATTATGATTTATTTAATACAGAAAACCTGTTGTAATGATTGGAACAGTTCAAACCCAAGCATTTTTGTCTGTAAAAGTTATCCCTAAGAATACTGTGGTGTCTACAAGGCCCACATTCCTATCCTTTACATTCACACTGGATTTTACTTGTTTTACATTAGGTAATACAAATTTACAAACGGCAGCACCATCTCTGCACATTGCAGGCAACTTATTTACTTATTTTATCTAATCTTCATGGCCTTCACAATGCAAATGGCGGACATAATACTTTTATCTCAGTTATTGCAAAAAAATACTATTGACTCGTTCGGCACGGAAACGCTATGCCAGTTTGTTATTTATAGGTACCATGAGGTTTTTGTATACAAATCAAGATAATGCATACAATGTCAAAACCGCAGCCTAATAAGTAATCTGTGCCGCAGCGCCAGCCAATTAACTAGTGTGATGATCGAATTGCTCACTGCATGAAAAAGCATTAATGTCCATAAAGTAGAATTTACGTAATGTTTCAAGTCTTGAGTACCTATGCATTTATTCTAGTAGGTATACCAAAATACATGCTTATAAAAAATAAACTTTGATCATAATAAAAACACTCCCTAACTAATGAGGTAAACAGATAAGGAGGGATATTGATATAATATTATTATCGAGTGCAAATATAATAAACTAACAGAGTTCATTCAGAGCTAAATGGATGTTATGTATGTGTAAATATGGTCCCACCAAATGCATTTTCATGCAAAATTTTGCTAAGACGCGACCATTATGACTAACACTGTCAAAAAGCTATCAGATCTCATGTAGGGTAGAGCCAAGCTTCTAACTCTACAAACCCTACGCTATATATTTTGACTACGGTGTAGAGTTTGTGAAGTTAGGTTATGAAGTAGATATTGGTTCGTGCTAGCGGTACTGGTCCCATTTTCAAAACTATAACCTAACTTCCAGTTATAGTTTTGAAAATGGGACTTATAAACGTCAATAAAATAGAAATAAAAATATATACCTACACGCTGTTTTACCTGTTAAAAAAGTACATAAGAAATAAATAAGCTTGCTTTAAAATCTTCATAGATTTTTAGTAGTAAATATCTTTTTCATCCCACCACCTCGGAAAGTGTAATTTTGCGCTTCGAAATCGGGCTGGAAAATTCTATTTTATTCGCTTGAGCGGCAAAGTAGATTTGAATTTAGAACATCACATATAATGAGTACTCAATATAATTGTAAATTCAAAACGTCATTAAACCTATTTAATGTAACCTCTATGGTGCCAAATTTATGATTAGAACTTTTTAAATTGTGAAAAAATTTAAATTTGGAACCTTCTTGGTTTCTTTGTTTTATTTGCGTGCTTCGCGCCATTCTAGTTTTTCACGTTTTATTGCTTAAATATTTTGTCATTATAAATTGTTTTCTTTTTCATTTTGTCATTTCCTCGCTGAGGTGGGATGAAAAGTTACGTATTGCACTCGAGTGGAAAGATTTTTCACCTTGTGCTCGTTTGTTTCCCTCGCTGACGCTCAGGATTCTAATTTAGAATCACTCGCTGCGCTCGTGATTCAACTTTAGAATCCTTCGCTTGCTCGGTCATCCAAATCGAGCACGCGGTTAAAAAGGAACTTTCCACTCTTGTATAATAAATAACTATTTATGTCCTACTTTTTGGCCAGTTTTAAAAATAGTAGTCAATATTCGAAATGGTGTTTCGAAACCTGTATTATTTTTAAACTCCGTTGCATCTCAAGTTTGTATGCATGCATGCATATATCAACACGTGCCGTGAGTTTTTATTTATACAACTGCTCGACGAGTATATGGTCAAGCAGGTTTTCATAACTCCTTATCGTTAAGATTAGGAAAAGCTGTAAATAGCCTGAGGTCACTAGCAGAATGTTGGTGTGAAAGTTCACACAGTAATGGGTCGAGATTCGATATGCGGAGGTGGTCATTGGCCTTTTAGGCGATAATCGTTTTCGCCTCAATATTTGATAGCATTTCCAAAAGCTAGCCTACGTTGCCACCGACTCACTGTGGCAACTATTCCTACACGAACAAAGAAATTTGGTGACTCATTTTTTTGTCATACTACTTGTAAGTGGAATTCTTTGCCGCACACGTGTAACCTTCTTCCTACAATATGGGGTCCTTTAAGAGAGGCGTGAAGAAGCATTTTTGCAGGCCGGCAAGGTGAGGATAGTTGGTGTAGCAGTTCATGACTGCTGTACCAGCTATCTTCGCGTTTGGACTTTATAACCACTGAACATCAGGTGGGGTAGTCATTTGTCTACCTCGCTATAAAAAAAACTATCTATAAATAGAAAAGTTTACTAGAAAAAATTCCACGCGGACCAGGCAGCAGACGGGACTCAAACCCGTGCTCTTCGCTATCCGGGCGAATGCCCTGACTATTTCTAGTCTAGTCTAGGGTTTTTCTAGTAAACTTTTCTTTAGATTTAAACATCTAGCAGTTAAATGCTTAAAAAATAAAAACATATCTATAAATATGTAAATGTTAAAACGAAAACTAAGATAAGAATGGAAACTCAAAATGCTTAAGTGCTTAAGTGAATACATTTAAAACTTGCCTCAGATAGCTGACAATTCCAAAGGCTTACCGCGCAGTGCAAAGAAGAAATACAAAATGTGTGGTATTGACGTATCTTATAATATAACCATAAAGGTAGTGTAGATCGGGGCCAGAGATTTCGGGGCGACTCAGTGAAATATCCACTTTTAATTTGGTAGCGACACGCTCTATAATAATTAACCTTTAATGCCTAGTCTGACCAACAAAATAAGCCCTTTCACACTTTTGTTGACAGAGAACGACGAAAACCTCTATTGGATACAATGTACCGTATTACAGAGCAGTAATTTCAGGTAACTGTTATGAATGATGTATTCTTTTATTCCTTTTTTTAATTCACGCGGGCCTGACTGACCTAATATACCCACTAGGTAGATAGAAGATAGATATAATGCCCACACGACGCCAATGAAATGTAAGTAATGTATTGTATGTTAACCGCAACATGAATCCGTGTCTCACTGTTGTAATTGTTAGCATAGAGAATTAATTAGACAATTTAGTCTGAAAGTACATAGAACCAATTAAAGAATACTAATTTATTATTTATATATTTAATAGAAAGATTCTCAGTGATTGATCTAGTCTTGAGCATAGTTAGAAAGGGATGTCGCTATATATAGCACATAGTGACATCCCTTTCTAACTGTACTCAAGTAAAGATCAACACTTAGTTGTCATTCTGTAATACGGGCCTAAATCTCTGAAACGGCGCAATTTCAATGATATCTCTTCAATATATTTGTTTCTTAGGTTTTCACGCACATCACTCATTAAATAAAACTAGTTTAAACGGGATAATGCACGAAACTTTATTTATTTATTGACGTTTCGTAGCCTTTCCAGGCTTCGTCGTCAGAATAAAACCTTCCTTCCTCGAGCTACCTTCGAAGGTAGCTCGACAAATTAAACAAAAGTTTTATTCTGACGACGAAGCCTGGAAAGGCTACGAAACGTCAATAAATAAATAAAGTTTCGTGCATTATCCCGTTTAAACTAGTTTTATTTATCTCTTCAATATTCTAAACATCAAATAGTAAGGAAAAAATATAATGAACATTTCATGTATTCGTTTAAGGAAAAACCATTTGTTTAAAAGCTGAACTAATTACCAGCTGTGTTTATTCAATATGGGTGTTATTTGTTTTGAGTCTCATTTTAACATAAATCCATTGTTTTACCACCACAATGCACTATGGGAAAATCCCAGGAAAAATAATACCATTTAATGTACAATATACATATACATTGTATATGTACCCAACCGTCATTTATTTTGTATTACGACGAAATCAAGCATATTTATATTATAATCGTGTGCAATTTGAGATTTATCACAGAATTTATAATTTTTTTCCACAACATACGAAAATACAGCGGCAAAGCCCAAAAAAATCTAAAGACGCGCGAAATCTTTTCGTGGACTGTTCTAGTAAATTTAAGCGGTAAAAACAAAAAATATACCCGTAAGAGACCTTGACAAGTCCTGTAAGTAATAAGTTACTAAGTAACACAGGGAACTCTATTTTTTCTTGGATAAGAGTTATTATTCTAACTATTTCCTAGCCACACTTTCGATAGAAAATACGCGATAAAAGTTTATAATTCTAACTTTTAACTATTTCCTAGCCACACTTTCGAGAAAAGTACGCGGAGCCTTGTGAAATTTTAAACACTCTAAAATACTGGTTAAATTCCAGGCTTATGAAAACGTTATAAAAAAAAAACGCGTGAATTTATCTTGCACTCATGAAGACGTCTAATAATACAAGTATGTATTGGTATACACAGAATCTTTGGACTCATTTGATCGTATCGCGCAAGAATTATATTAAATGAATAGAAGAGG